ATCACTACACTGGGTTTCGATGCCTTAGTATAATACACTGAGAGGAGCACTGTGATACCACAGTATTGGCAGAGCAACATCCAGCTCATTCTCTCTAAATACGGGAAGTTTCGTCTAATGGTTATAAACATAATCTGCCTGCAAACAAGAAAAACTGAAAACAATATCAATCCACTCCATATCCAAACACTGGTACATGGTGGACTATTATTGAACAGCAGGGAAATCTCTTTGACATCTGTTCTACTCACTCCCTCAGTAGTGCAGAATGCTCCTCTGACCGTTGGCTTCTCAGGAGTATTGTGTCTTTGTAGATAAAATCCAAGGGCCTTTGGTGCTGAGTCAAGTCACAAGGAAAGCTTGATGTAGCTATTCTTACAGACATGGTCAAGTCATTAACTGCAACACAGTCTAGCCACAGGAATTGTTGGTATCCTGGAGAGCAATACTGCCATTGAACATTCTACAAAGTGAAAGCAGCATGTCATCTGATGTCCTAGGGTTCATTAAAGAGAAGTACCAAGACTGTTTTGATCACAATACCAATGCCAAACTGTGAGACAAAATGTACAATACTTACAAATCTCACAAATCTGAGAAGAAATCACAAGCGAGGAATGTGAGATACCACCACACTAAACACATATTAAAGGCCAAACTAAGACAGATGAAGAACCAAGTGGGGAAACAAGGTTGAAGAGCTTCAAATAAAAATACCAGAAGGCCGCACATGAAGGTCTATGGCCTCAAAAACAGAACTGTGACATTAATCTTTTCAGCGGGCAGTGATCGGCTTCTAACAGGCATGAGGTAATCTCTCATCGGAAAGAACAGTTCAGTAACCTTTAAAACTAACAATTCATGGTGTACAATGATATGATTGAGTCACTTCCACAGCACCACACTCTGGAAGTGTTTGTTCTTGATCCTTTTCAAGCGGAATTCACAAAGTCTATACAGCAGCTTTCTTTAGCCAAGTCACTGGAAACTGGTAGTATCCCGCCGGTTATGGACCTCACTGATACCTTCTCCCTAATCTGGAACAAAGGCTCTGCGCTCTAAGCCTCAAACTCACCCTCATGACTCATCACGGCAAGCAGAAAGGAATCAAGTCCATCTGTGACAATCATTGTGGAATATCAGATATAAGATAACAAGGTGTAGAGTTGGATGAACACAGCAGGTCAAGCAGCATCGGAGGAGCAGGAAAGCTGACATTTCAGGTCTGGACCCTTCTTCAGAAAAAAGGGTCTAGACCCGAAACGTCAGCTTTCTTGCTCCTCCGATGCTGCTTGACCTGCTGTGTTCATCCAACTCTACACCTTGTTATCTCAGATTCTCCAGCATCGGCAGTTCCCACTATCTCTGAATCAATTGTGGAATATCACTTCTTTCAACAGTTCTTGCAAAGGTTATTCTTATTCACTTTGTCACATATCTCATTGCTTTATGTATTAAGAATTGCAGTGTGGATTCTGTTCCGACTGGACACTAAATTCAAGACAAGTCTCCCGAACAGAGTAACGACTTCCACATGGTGTTTGCTGAACTGGCCAAGGTTTTGAATAGAGGAAACAGAGTCATCTGTGGAGGTTTCTGTACAAAATATGGCTGCTCTGAAAAGATGATCAGTGATATTCAGTCATTTCACACTGGATAGTGTGATGCAAAGTGGCAGGTCACTGGATGCATTTCCTGTCATTGACTGCACCAAGAGAGGTTGAGTACTGGCTCCAGAATCAAAGGTCCTGATACAGGAGTACAGATTGAATTCAGGACTGACAGCAACTACTTCAATTTGCAAATGATCAAAGCTTACACAAAGGTTCCTGATCAGCCCCTGAGTGAACTCTTGTTTGAACACAATTGTACTGTCATAGCACATACTCCAGAGGACACCTGACTGCTCATTGATTACATTGACCGAGTCTCAGGACACTTTGGCCCAAAAACAAGCTTGAAGAAGACAAAGATGTTGCATTATCATGCCCTAGTCAAATACGCCAAAACTCCAAAGTCACTATCAGCAACACATCTCTCAGTTCATTACAAAGGCCTTGATATCTTGTGGAGTATATTCACCAGCAACGCTATGTTGGACAACAAAATCAACCAATGAAAAGCAAAAGCAAGCTCAAGATGTGGCAGGCTCACTCCACCTCCTTTGGAAAGTGCATGGAGTTTGTCTTAGAATAAAGATCAATGTCTACTAGGCAGGGTTTCTTACATTACTCTATGGACAACCTACAGCAGCACAAAAAGCAGCTAGAAGCATTCCATCTTCACTGGCTGAGGTCTGTGTGCAACATCAAGTGACAGGACAAAGCCCCAGTGTAGAAGTTCTTGCAAAGTGCTGCATACGTGGCATTGAGAGTATGCTCATCACAGCTCAGGTTCATTGAGTGGCATAGTTCTACAGGCAGCTGAGCACAGGTATCAGCACCACAGGATATCCTCACGTAGATAATAAAGACAACCTAAAAGCCAACCTTAGGACTTGCAAACTTGATCCCAATATATGGGGGATAAAAATACCTTGAACTGAACCAAAAGGGGAGTGTCTGTCATCAGGGTAGTGAAGAAGTCATTTGGTATGCGTTCCCTTATTGGTCTGTGCATTGAGGGAGGTCATGATGCAGCTGTACAGGACATTGGTTAGACCACTTCTGGAATACTGCGTTCAATTCTGGTCTCACTGCTATAGTAAAGATGTTATGAAACTTGAAAGGGTTCAGAAAAGATTTACAAGGATGTTGTCAGGATTGGAGTGTTTGAGCTATGGGTAGAGGCTGAAAAGGCTGGGGCTATCTTCCCTGGAGCATTGGAGATTGAGGGGTGACCTTATTGAGGTTTATAAAATCATGAGAGGCATGGATAGGGTGAATAGACAAGGTCTTTTCCCCAGGGTAGGGGAGCCCAAAACGAGAGGTCATAGTTTTAAGGTGAGAGCAGAAAGATACAGAAGGGACCTGAGGGGTAGCTTTTTCATGCAGAGAGTGGTGCATACGTGGAACGAGCTGCCAGAGCAAGTGGTTAAGGCAGGTACAGTTAGATCATTTAAAAGGCATCTGGACAAGTACATGAATAAAAAATGAGTAGAGGGATATGAGCCAAATGCTAGCAAATGGGACTAGATTAATTTCGGAAATCTGGTCAGCATGGATGAGTTGGACCGATGGGCCTGTTTCTGTGCTGCACATCCTTATGTCTCTAAGTGATTTTGACACTTCATAAGAACAAAGTCTGGCGTCTTCAGGACAAGAAAACAATGTCAACGCCTCCATCTTGCCCTCCACAATGACTTTTTGTGAAGGAGCAGAACAATGGGATTCTGGGAACTGGAGAAAAACACTAGTGCAGAACTACCAGGGTCACTGATTTGTTTGCAGTTGTTTAAGTTTGAAGGGTGAGTGTCAAAATTCAGTGTGTCAAAATTCAGTGCCATCCAATAAGGAAACCAAAAATGCCCATTATTAAAGGAGCACCATCAGAGGAGCACAGGAACAGGGATATGTCATTTAACCCCTCAAGCCTGTTCCACCATACAATGAGATCATGGCTAATCTGTGGCCTCACTTCATATACCTGCCTTTGGCCCATATCCCTTAATGCCTCTGCTTAACAAAACTTTATCAATCTCAGATTTAAAATTAACAACTGATCCTGCATCCACTGCCATTTGTGTGTAAAAGTGCTTCCTAACATTTCTCTTGAATGAACTAGCCATAATTCTCAGATTATGCCCCCAGTTCTAGAAACGCCAACCAGTGGAAATAGTTTATCTTCACCTACCCTTTGTTTTCCTGTTAATATCTTAAAGACTTTGATCAGATCACCCCTAAATCTTCTAAACAGGCCCAACTTGCGCAATCTTTCATCATATCTGAAGTCTAAGTATTATTCTTGTACACCTACATTGTAGTCCCTCCAAGGCAAATATATCCCTCCTAAGGTGTGGTACTTAGATCTGCTCACAGTATTCCAAGTGGGGTCTAACCAGATTCTGTATAACTGCAGCATAACTTCTGCATCCTTTCATTTGAGGTCCTTCTAGAAATAAGGGCCAGCATTCCATTAGCTTTCTCAATTATTTTCTGCACCTATTCATGGCATTTTAAAGACCCATGCACCTGAACCCCAAATCTGCATTGAACATGGAACATAGAACAGTACAACGAAGGAACAGGCCCTTCAGCCCACCGTGTCTGTACTCACCACACTGCCATTCTAAACTAATCTCATCTGCCTGCACATGGTCCATATGTCCCTTTCCGTTAATGTGTCTGACTAATTAACTCATAAACATTGCTATTGCAACTGCTTTCACCACCTCCCATGGCAGCGCGTTCCTGGCACCTATTATCCTCAATGTTAAAAAAAACCTGACACACAAATCTCCTTTAAAATTCCCACTCTCAGCTTAAATCCATGCCCCAGAACTTTTCACCTTAGGGAAAAAAAGATTCTGACTATCCACACTGTCATAATTTTGTATACTTCTATCAGGTAAGCCCTCAGCCTCTACTGCAAACAATCCAAGTTTGTCCAACCTCTACAATCCAGGCAACATCCTGGTAAAGATAACACAGCGTGGTGCTGGAGGAACACAGCAGGCCAGGTGGCATCAGGGGAACAGGAAAGTTGACGTTCTGGGTCGGGACCCTTCTTCAGAAAGGGTCCATCCTGGTAAACCTATTTTACACTCTTTCCAAAGCATCCACATCCTTTATATAGCGTGGCGACCAGAACTACATACCCTTTGGACATTGAATGCACTTCATATCATCTAGAAAGTACCCTGATCTGTCCTGTTTTGGTCCAAAATGGATAACCTCACATTGGATTGAATGGGTTACCAGAGGCCAGGGAAGATTTGTACAATGGAGATAACCGGTTGCAGGCTGGCTGCTGGAGTGCCGACTGTAACTTGACTGAAGAAGGTGGAGCCTCTAGCTCAGTGAATGAGTATGTCCCGCCCACAGACCTGCGCCACCCAACCGCACAGGGAAACCTGCCAGATCGTTCCAGGCAATCTTACCCCTGTCCCGCCGCACTTTCTTCCCTGCTGCTGTTAATGATAATGTGGCTCGCTCTCTATGCTTTAAGGCTTGGCACTTTCTTGATGGAACTTTCCCTTTCTTCAGCGAAATCGACTGGGTCGTGGGGACAGGGTGAGTAGAAAGTTTGGTTGAAGTTCAATTAGAAACGGGATCTCTCCGAATACACACTGGGCACAAAGTGCGGGCTGGCCAAACCAAGGGGAGCGGGTGGATCGGACCAGGCATGCACCGAGCGTTTTAACGAAACCTTGTGACGCCTGACGTCTCCCACCAGTATTTAGAATCGAAAACTTCATTGTAAAGTCCGAATGCGTCCATTAATTGTTTTGTATGCGCTATCCCCCTCCTCTTCCCTGGCTCCGATGTTACTTCCTGAATGTTAGAATGGTTGCTCTGCTCCAATAAGGTCAGTGTTGAGCAGGTCTGTTCTGCACTGAAATCTGTTTCTCCGCTTCACAAACAAGGACGTTACTTTGCAAATAGAAAGCAATAAAGAAAAATCCGCCTATTTCCAGCTGGTTAGTTCAGAAGAGGTTACTTCCTTGCGACTTTTGTGTTACTTCTTTCAACACTGACACGCAAGTTAAATATTAGGGCTGTCTCTCTTTACTGTTTATTTTAGAAATAATGAATTTTCTCCCGATTTGAAACTTTTAAAATCAGATTTAGAAATCTCTTAAACAGATTTTCTTCGCCAAGATTCCTCTTGGAAATTGATTTATTATAATAACTGTGCATATGTATTGCAGAATAAATGTTTCAGGCAGTAGATATAGTGCAACTTTGATGTTGATCGAATGTATGGCCTTTATTAATCTGTATACGCACACTGCCAAGTGGGGAAATTGTAAAGTTATATGCTTGCCATAGGTTTTGCCAGGGCTATCTGTCAACATTTCTGTCTATTAAAAAGGGATAAAAACAGAAATTGCTGAAAAATATCAACTGGTCTAGCAGCGTCTGTGGAGAGAAATCAGAGTTAACGTTTTGGGTTCAGTGACCCTTCTTCAGAACTGGTCAGAGGTGGATCAGAAACATGAACTCTGATTTCTCTCTCCAGATCCTGCCAGACCTGCTAAGGTTTTCCAGCAGATTCTATATTTGTTTCTAATTTACAGCATTCACATTTTTTGTTTTTTTATTAAAATGTGATGACTGCTTTGGGCCACATGTTTAAATCATTACAAATTAAATGGGTGCAGTAGATTGTCTATATTTCAGAAATGCTTGTTTTGCTTTTTTGAGAGAAGAAAAAGGGCTGAAGTAGTGCTGTCCTTGTGTACGATTGTTTTTCTTTTAATTGATAGCATGTGTAGATAGAATTGTAAATACATCTTAAGTACTGTTTTAGCATTGCATTTCTCTGTTACACAATTTTCAGTGTAAAAATGGGAACTTGGTCTCCTTTAATTATTATGTTCAGCCTAACTGAAGAAATAGACAGCTAAGATTTATTTTTTGAAAGCTATCATTAATAGATAATTTTACAGTCCCTGAGAAAATCCACACTATCTCTCTGCAAATTCTTCCAACCCTGTAATCAACAACTTTCATTTATTTAGCACAATTGATGTTCGAATGACTGGAGCATGACCGAACAATGTTTAACATCAAGTCATACAGCATGAAAACAGATGCTTCGGTCCAACTTGTCTGCACCGACCAGGTATCCCATTCTGAGCTAGTCCCATTTGCCAGCATTTGGCCCATATCCCGACAAACCCTTCCTATTCATATGCCCATCCAGATGCCTTTTTAAATGTTGTAATTGTACCCACCTCCACCGCTTGCTCTGGCAGCCCATTCCAAATACGCACCACCCTCTGCATGAAAAAAATTACTCCTCAGGTCTCTTCTATATCTTTCCCCTCTCACATTAAACCTTTGCCTTCCCATTTTTGACTCCTCCATCCTAGGAAAAAGACCGTGGCTATTCACCCTATCCATGCCCCTTATGATATTACAAACCTCTATAAGGTCACCCCCAGCCATTTCAGCCTCTCCCTACAGCACATAACGTCCAGTCCCAGCAACGAGGTTGTAACTCTTTTCTGCGCCCTCTCAAGTTCAACATCTTTCCTATAGAAGGCCGACCAAAATTGTATGCAGTATTCTAAAAGTGGCCTCACCAATGTCCTGTACAGCCACAAAATGACATCCCAACTTCTATACTCAATGCACTCTCCAATGAAGGCAAGCGTGCCAAATGCCTTCTTCACCATCCTGTCTACCTGCGACTCCACTTTCAAGGAAATATGCACTTATGATTCACATGAAACAAATTTGGTCTCTTATGCAGCACTGATGCTCATTGCTCCAATATTGGCCTTAACACTCTAAGACTCCTTTCTGAAATTTTCCTGTCACGCTCATCTTTTTTAGGTGCACATTTAAAACTTACGTCTTCCTTTGTCCTGATATCACCTTAAGGGGTTTAGTGTTAAATTTGATTGATTATGTCTCTGTGAAGCACCTTGGGAGGTTATACCATGCTAAAGCCACAAAAGAGATGAAACTTGTTGATTGATTGTTTCTTTTGGTACAACTTCAATGTCACCGTGAATAAAGTCAACTAATTGCAATTGGTGTGCAATTATTTGACAACTTTTCAATAAACATCTAAAATTGTAACACTATGTAACCTACAATTGGAAAATAGCAAATGGCAATACAACAATACAACAAGTTGGATTGGTTGTGGAATATTAATCTTTATTGCACATACATGGCTTGTCTGGTGTGGGCTTATGGGGTATAAAGGGCTAAGGAAACACAGTTAGCTCATTGGATTAAGGCTGCAGCTTATGGAGGATCAGCATCAACATATAAACGTGGTTGAATGCCTTATTTGGATGTTGTAAATTCTCTATAATTTTTTTAATGAAACAGAATGCTCACTGTTTATGTGTCAAGTCTGGAATGTATCCTCCACAAAAAAGGAACTCACAATTGTTGTAGGCTCAAGGTGAGTTGTAACTTCCTTAACCTTAAGGGTAAAGTCTGTACTGAATATACAGTGACAAACAATTGTAGTATAACACCCTTGGTCTCAAATGACTGCCTAAGAAGATTCATTGCCATCTTTTATTATTTCACATCAGGTATTAAAGTAAAAGGTTTTTTTCATTTTACTTTAATACTTTCTACTGAAAGACTAATGTCACCATTTCCTTTGTTTATAGGATGTAGATGATGCTGGTAAGGCCACAAGTTGCCCATGTCCAGTTGATCTGACAAAGTGGCTTATCCTTTAAATGTCGAAAGCCTTTCTCCTTTAACAGCTGTAATTCATGGGTAGTGCTACCTAGTAGAAATTGCAATGTGTTTACAGCAACATAATACTAGCAAAATGCAATAATCTTAGTAAAATATATCTCACATACTGTATATATGGAAGTATTTAATGAGTTAACAAGTAGCACCATTCGGTACAAAACTTGGCAAACATTTTTCATTCCATTTGGAATTCTGTCATGATTACAATCATGCCAATAAAGTTAGTAAAGCTTCAGAATTTTTGGGAAAAAACACTGTTCAGCAATTGCATGTTGTACATTTGACGTTGAGTGATTTCCCTGTGATGCATACCAGATCTGTCCCCACTTGTCAACTAAAATGCGGTTTGATGGTGATTGCCCTTTACATAATGTGCTGTATTGGAGCTGTTAATTAATTGTCGGGTTTTCTTTCTTCTGTACACCTAGAATAGCAATTCAGTTTGCCTACATTAACAAGTGTCCTGTACTTACAATAATGCTGATGTTTCTGTAGTACATATATGTTTTCAATGTATTACATGCATTTTAGTGGAGAGCCACTATTAAACACAACCAAAGAATCTCTTGCATTCTTTTTTGTCTTACTATTATCAACAAATATACAAAAAGGATTAAAGTACAAATACTTTGTAAATCAGTATTGAGATTTCCTGTCTGACAATCATGCTTATTGCTCAATTTTATTTACGAATCACTAATACTATTACTCTCACCTAGATTGCCAGTCTATGTCTAATGTATTGGACTGCACTATTCTTATATGGTATTGTGATGAAAGGAGTGAATATATATATATCACCATTGAAAGTTGGATTTCAAAAAAGTGACAGATGGATATAGTTAACTCCTGTGAAGGGCTTTCTTTTCAAAAGCAAAATCAGGTCAGAGTGACCTTGTTACCTAAATCCAGCATTTGTCAGAAAGCAAGTGACTAAAGACCCCTGTGGTATTATTGGAAAGATGTTTCATCTGTTGGATTTACAACAGTTCGGGTGAACATTTAAGGTCATGATTCTTCTGAACTGAAGAAAAATATAGGATCGACCAACTTGTTTAATTCAGTTCAGAAAACATCAGGGTTGACTTCAGAAGAAATGTTAATTTCTCTCTGAGAAGGAGTTCAGGGGATTAGTTACTTCAGCAGAAGTACTTAGTTTGTTAAGCTTCCAAACCAGGAGTATTTGGTTAGATGTCTGCAGGTTATTGGAACTGAGCAAGTTTAGACTCTCAGATTTGTGAAAAGCCCATTTTGGCAAACTTGGAAAGGACTCATTGAATTGCTTCCACAGTCCATGGCAAACAAACTGAAAGCAATTTTTCAGTAGAAACTTAAGGAATTGTAATTTCTCAGACTTAAGACCTTACAATGGATAGTCAACAAACTTGGTTTTGCTTTACTCATTCATAGGATTGGGACTTTGCTGGCTGGACCAGCTTTTATTGCCCATATCTAATTGTCTGGGGGTGTAGTAATATACCATCATGATCTGCTGCAATACATTTTGGTGTAGGTACCTTCATAATGCTGTTAGAGAGGGAGTTCCAGGATTTTGACACAGCAGCACTGAAGGAATGGTGTATTTCCATGTTGGATTGATGAGTAGCTTAGGTTAGAACTTGGAGATGGTCCTGTTTCCATGTGTCTGTAGCCTGTATTCTTCTAGATAGCAGTGTCAAGGCTTAGAAAGTGTTGCCTAAAGAGCCTTGGTGAATTGCTGAAGTAAATCATGTCGATCTTGTACATTGCTGCCTCTGTGGTGGAAGAACTGAATGATGCCACATCCACAAACAATCAAGTGAGCCGCTGAGTCAAGTTCCTTGCATGTTGTTGGA